AACTACTCTCTCTCTCTCTCTCTCCTCCGTGTGTCTGTGGGAGTTTGTTACATCGCCTGCTGCATCTGCGTGAGATTCTAAGAAGATCTTATTTCTTCTCTCTCTCTCTCTCTCTCTCTCTCCCTCTCTCTACACCCATCCCCCTCCCACCTCGGTGAAAGAGGAGCGAGGAAAAAAGTTTAAAAAAGAAAATATCGTGCGTCATTCACTCCCGTTTCCTCGACCCATTCACCGAGAAACCTCCACTTAACGAGAACTCGGATCGAGATTGGGCGAACAACCGCACCCTTATGATCGTGCCGTGAACTTCTTGAACCAGGTCAAAAAGCATAATCCCAACCATTCTATTATTTACGTGACGCAGCAACTTCTCGTACACTCCATCGATTCTCCCCGTTCATCCATAATTCGAACGTTCGATTGTAATAACGTAGATTCCAGAATTCGATTCTGATCGTTCATTTCAGAATTAAGATTGACACGCCGATAATCTTCTTTTTCTTTTTTTTTTTTTAACGTAATAAATTAGATAGATAGATCTGGTCGACGACGAGAGAACGAAATGTTGCGAAATCCATCACGTGTCGCAACCACAATCGTACATTTCCTTTATTAATCTCTCCGTAATTTTCGATTGCATTCGTGACGATCAATCGGATCTATTTCCAGGCAAAAGTCGAAATTCCACGGGAATCCTCGGTCGGAAGGTTAATTAAGGGTAAAGAGAACACGACACGAGTATGTCTATAACAGTATCCATATATCGTTCTCTGAACGTTTGCCAACCAAGCTGATCACCGCGATAGCAGCCTCCTTAAACACGACCCAAAGTCACGAGACGTTTAATAACGATATAATGCGATAATTAAGGGAAAGATCGATAGGCCGTTTGGCGCGATGCCTGCGCCTAGTAACCCGATGCGAATGGGGCAATTATATATCCCAAGGAGATTTAGCTTTGTTAATTTCTCTTCTCGAACGGTAAGAGGATAAAAAGAAAGAAAGAAAGAAAGAAAGAAAGGAAAAATCGTTCAATTTATCATGATGGTCTAATGTGTCGTAAACTATTGCCTCGACTCGAGCGTTTCAATTTCGCGTGGGGAAAACGTCATTGGAAAAATCGACGGCGCGAGAAGGACGCAGTCTCGACGTAGTCTACAAAGGCGCGCCAGATATCAAACATCTTTTGATGCGAGAAAGTGGCCTGGATAGAGTGTGTAACAATGGCTTCTTTGCTTCATTAATCGTTCAGAATGTATGCGCTTATTCAGGGGCTCGAACGCCCGTGACAACGTTGTCAAAGAGGAGGACAAGAGGCGTGTATCGAATCCGGGATATAATAGTTGAAAGAGGAGGATATCTTTATCGGAAAACTAAGTGACAATGGTGAAAATAATGGGGGAGCGCTATTCGCGAGTGATTCTTTTGTAAGAAAGTATTATCGCTCGATAAACTAACTCGCGCGTACCTCGAATATATATGTTCCTTTAATTAAAATGAACGAGTAAACAAAGGAATATTTTCCTTTTTTTTTTTTTTTTTAATTAGATTAAAAGGGTCAAACGAAATGGTCGCGAGTCGTTGGAAAGTTCGTTTTAAAAAAAACTGTTTGTGCGTGCACATTATAACGACTCGAAATTCGCAGTTTTTTGAATCATTGACACGGAAAAGATATGATCGATGATAAAATATTGCGCGTTTATTATAATTGTTACAGATATATCGCATATATATATATGCATGCGTGTACGTTGCACACAAGATTTAAACGAAGATTGATATAAAATTGATATAAAATTCTACTCCGTACTCTTGAATCGATTAAATTTTTGAATAGAACGAGCCTCACGGCGTAACTAGTCGATGATTGGATGAGTAGCGTGAGCTATTTTAAGAAATCAACCTAGATATTTCATCTACTCATGGAGAAACGTCGTAGATAATCTAGCGTGGTATCGATTTTGTCTGTTTTCAGCAAAGGGGCAGCAGCTGGGCTCGCCGTGCGATGTCTCGTGCAATCCGAAACTGCAACACGTGTTCTGCGACACCGTCACTGGTTTTTGCGAGTGTGAAAAATTCTATCCAGTTCGTCTCGGCCCCTCGAAAGGATGTGCCAAACGTACGTACTCCGTGTTGCACCGATGATATTTCCAATTTCCACTTCGTTCAAATAGGTCGTTCCGATAGTAGCGAGAAGCGCACACACGTGTGCAAAAAGCACGAAGCGAGGAAAAAATAAACGTCGATTGTTCCGTGATCCAACCGTTGAAAGAAGAAAATATTTTACGCGTAGAAACGTCGTATGTACGTCGTTTATTCGATACGCATACGTCGAATAACAGAGAACGAAGAATCGTCGTCTATTTTCTTACCTCTCCCCCCTCCCCTCCGCCCTCCCCCCGTAATACTCTTTCGTAATAGCACGATTAATTTAATTTTCACCTTATCTACGAGAATAATCGGGGGAGGGAAAAATAATAAGAAATGATAAAATTTTTCCAGCTAAAAGACTCGGGGAGCAATGTTTCTATCGCGCGAGTTGCACTTTTGCGGATCAACACTCGACCTGCACCCAGGTGCAACACAATGCCGTATGCGACTGCGAAGAGGGTTACCATAGGGTTTCCTTGTCCAGGCCTAGCAAGAAGGTGTTCTGCGCCGAAGGTATATCGTAATACTGTCATCGACACTGATAGCCCTCGAATATTATTCGTATCGCACGATTTAAAGAAAATCTTAACTCCTCTTCCTCGTTTCAAATCCATCGTGTTGATGGAAATTGATATTCGTACAAGATTACTAATTAATGTGTTTGCGGTGGTTTAATTTGCTGGCAGATCTGGTGCTGATAACGACAGATATTCCGACCCTGCTCTGCATAGCATCGGGAATAGCGGTATTCACGGCGATGATATGCTTCGTGCTCAAGTTATTCAGCCGCGCGAGATACTCGAGACCGCGGCACTATGCCAACGCCAATCACGCGCCTCCTATGCTCTTCTCCAGCGACACGGGTGAGTATTCGGGATAGAAGCTCGAGCGAAACTAACTTTTACTTCATTGTGTCGATCTCTTTTTTCTTCCTTTTTTTTTTCTTCTTTTTTTTTCTTCAATTCAATTCAATCGCCGTGAACGTGTCAGGGACACACACATACGCGCTATACCCCATTAAGAACTCATTCCGTGAAATCGATAGGGGCTAAGTATCGATGAAGAACACCGTCCCTGTTCGAACGCGTCTATTTTCGTTCCACCCTCGTTTCAGACCTTGAGAAAAATCTTAGAACGATCCCTAACGATAGTTGCACGGATCAGTGCCGAGTTCCTTTTCTTATTTGTAGTCGACGCGTATCCAAATACGTTAATGTCGAAGTGCGTGAGAAATTTGGTCGTTGTTGAACGTTCTCCTTTGGTATCGTATTACAAATTTTTTAACGAAACTTTTTATTAAAACGATCCAACAGGTATTCCATTGACGCTTCACGGTGGCCGACCATCCTCGCGTTCGAGTCAGAGAAGCAGCACCGGAGGACCGTTGACCTATGCATTCTCGAGGAGGCCTAGCAGCGGTGGTAGCCGTGGTCCCCTGGTACCATCGTCGAGAGCAGGTGCGGCACGTGCCGCCGCCATCTTGCTTATATCGTGTCACCTGCAGGCGACCAAAGGCGGGAACAAGCATCGACGTACCCTTAGCGATGTTGCTGAGGGATCGTCCGACGGCCTCGGTAGACGATCAACGATCTTTCTAACTCTTTCGTTTTCTCTCTTCTATTCTCTTCTTTCTCTCCGCATCTCTCACACTCTGTGTTCACCACCTGTGCGTCCGTTGTTACTCCCTTTAATACTTCTTCTTCTATTTCTTCTTCTATTTCTTCTTCGTCTTCGTCTTCTTCTTCTCGTTCCGGTTTTCCTGTCCTCTTTCATCGTACCCTTCTTTCATCGTTCGTCTATCGTACAGTGGGATTTGACGTCAAATCACTTTCCATGTTGTTCTTTTTCTTTTTTTCCTATTACTATTGTTATTTCTTTTTCTTTTTTTTTTTCGTTCTTCTTCTTTTTTCCTTTACGAATCCTGCACACTGCAAGTCGCCTCTCCGAACTGGCGACATCGATGAAGAAGAAGAAGAAGAAGAAGATGGCGGTGGTGCTTTGAGTCGTGCCACACCGTTATCGCTGTTGTGTCGTAGTCATTGTTATTGATATTTAGCACCCCCTTTTCCAGCTTCCCTCTCGCGTCTCCCACGTTTCTTTATTCCTCGTCTGACCCCTTTTGCAACGATCCTTGATTACACGAAGTATCGTCCACGAGGGTTACAGAAACGAGGGAAACGCGAGATCCGATCACGTTTAATCCTCCTTGACACGAATAGCCCACCCTTCTTTCTCTCTTGTTCTCCGACATTATAGAATGTTCGTTTTTTTTTTTTTACTTTTCGATTCCATACCATGCATTGTTATTATTATTATTATTATTATTATTATTACTGTTATTATTATTATTACCATCACCATCATCATCATCATTATTATTATTATTATTATTATTATTATTATTATTATTACTGTTCTCACCGACGAATGGCCGTGACGGTGCTACCGATACGGATTTACTCAAAATTACATTGAAAACAAAGAAGAGAGAAAAAAAAAAAAAGAAAAAAAGAAAAGAAATCTGTATCACTCCTCCCCAATCGTATCTTACACACTCATTCTGATTAGATGTTAAAAAAAAAATAATAATGCAACGATAAGAAAACCATGTGTACACACATTATTACGTGTGGCATATTTATCATTATCGTGGATCGAAAGAAACACAAATGCTACATTGTCACGTGATATGTGAATCTAATGTGTATCCAATGATATATATATATATATATATATATATATGTATATATATATATATATATATAAAGCGCTGCACGAGTGTGTTACGAGATAGCAAGATGGCAGCGGCCGATTTCGTTGCTCGTTAACGAACGAACGTTCTCTGGTAAGACGTAGAGAGACACGAAATCTTTACGCACTAGCTAGCTCGCCGCACACGCACGCAAAAACAGGTGCCGGTTCGCATGCGAGGGGTCAGCTTTCTCTCTCTCTCTCTCTCTCTCTTGCTCTCTCTTCTTCTCTCTCTCTCTCTCTCTCTTTCTCTTTTCAAAGTTAACCAACACGTCGAACTTTTGAACGAGAAACTTACTTCTCTCACGCCCGCAATCGAGGGGGTGGGCGGTGGGTTTGAATTCTTTAATTAAGCCTGCCTACGTTTTTCCGCTGCTACATTTTATTTGCTGCACTTTTTTTCAAGAACGTCGCTTATTTTTTTTTCTTCTTCTTCTTCTTTTTTGAAAGCTGCGAACGAGAACGAACGCCGAAGAATTCAGCAGAGGGAAGAAGAAAATAATACGATATTCCTCTTCTGTTTGCCTGTTCGTTTGCTTTTTCCCCCGCTTCTCTGTGTGTCTCTGTGTGCTGTGCCTGTAATAGCAATTTTAGAAATTTCGACTAGTGGCCAACGCTGTTAACGGAGAATATTTATCGTAATCGGGATGGATTGGAAGGGACGCGGGCGAATGTCGATTTCATTTTTGATCATAACAATCGCGATAATAACCTCTTGTATTAAAATTATATATAATCTATGATATCTGTATACAAATAATGATACGGAATTACGGAGATTAAGAGAGAAGAACGCGTGTCGCGATTGATCGAGATGGCGCGACATTCGTTGAGCGAAGATTGAATGAAAAAGAAAGGAAAAAAGAAAAAAAAACTCGAAGCTGAAAATCGTATTACAATAAAAAAAAGAAAAAAGGGGGAAAGGAAGGAAATATGCACGGATTCAACTTGCTGAATGCGCTTGCTAGAAATCGAAGGACAAAACGTACACACGTCTCGAGCCGAAGCTTCGCTTCAATCTCTTTCTGTGCAACAGGATGCACGCGTGTATATTGTCACTCTCTTTCTCTCTCTGGCTTGGCATTTTCCACGTCGCATTTTCTTTCTTCGTGTAGTCAATCAATAAGAACTCTTGAACGAGCTCTCCCTGAATTAGAAACACTTGAACAATTCGTATATAATCCACACGATGACTCTCGTCCGCGTATATAATAATTTCTTAAAAATTCGTTTCTATATCGAGAATCAAGGTCCGCTCGAGATTATGCGTCGTACACAGTCCACCATCGATGAAAGCAACGCGCGAGCGGAGAAGGATCGTTTCTCGCCGCGTTTATCGATTCGGCGATAGAGGACGAAAATGCGGGGAGGCGAGATCGTGAGCGTTCGCTTTCGTGCTCTGCTTGCTTCGCGCTTCTGAAGGGAACCGCTTCTGTATTCATTCTTCCTGCATTATCCACAACACGATGCGATGCTCGCTGATAATCTCTACACGAATCTGCACACTCGCTCCACGACCGAACACCGAACTTCAAAACGTCCACGTTATATAGCGTATATACAATCGATTATTCGAACACGTTTATATTATACACACTTTGCACCCTTTCGATCCTCTTTGAAGAATACCTCTCTTCTTCTCGGCAACCATCTTTTTCTACGTATTTATTTATTTTTTTTTTAATCCCAATTTATAAATTCTATTCAACTTTACGTGAACTTCCTTCTCCTCTCATCTCGGCTTTCTCGAAAATGATCACGTCAAACGCCTTTATTACACCTTTCCCTGTGATTTTTCCCTCCCGATGCGATCATCCAGCTTGCGTATCTCGAAGAATTAGCTAGTGAACGAGGGATCCGGTTGGATTTGACCCCAGCCGGGATCGGTAACGCTCGTTATCGATAGAGGAAACGATTCGGGCAAAAATGAGCGGGAGTAACGCTGGTATTTAGCCGAGCAGTTGCAATTAGATTTCGTATTTCTGATTGATCTCCAAGCCTAGCTAATTGACTCTTAGCGTAGCGGGAAGGGGAACTGGGGCGAGGGTAGCGCGCCCTCGAATTCGTTCCACGAATTAAATTGTTGTACCCTTGTTTTCGCCCCGATAGGTTCACGTCGCCCTAGTTTAACGTCGGTTCACAGTTCGACGTCCTCGGCACGCAGTTACAGCGCGAGACGGCTCGAGAAAGAGAGGAACGAGAAGGAGCAGAGGCAAGCTTTGCAGGAGTTGAGATTGGCCAAGCAGCGGGAGCAACAGCAGCGAGAGCAGCAGCAACAGATCGCCCCTACGCCTAGCCCTAGAACCCCTCATTCCATGGACGAGCTGTTGCCTTCCGTCGAGGAGGGGAAGGAAGTGTTTTATAACGAGGTATATTGTTCACGTGTATACGATTTCTTCTCTCTCTCTCTCTCTCTTTTTTCTTTTTCTTTAAGAGTAAGTGTCTTCATCCATATCAAAAATAATCTTGAGCGATCCAGATTAGTAGTGGTAATCCACATTGAAGAAAACTTGAAACTCTGTTACAACAGAGTTATGAAAAAGATCAAGTTAAAAGATCTGCCTTCTCAATTTCGAAAGGATCATATCGGTCCCATTTTTTGCAGACTTGAAGAATTGCAATTACGAGTGGAATGGAATTTTTAAGATTAGGATTAAGTTAAGATCTCGTTTAACTCGACGAATCAATTATGAATTCTAACTTGAAATGCTTGGATCACATCAGCAGGTGCCGACGACATCGGACATGACCGAAGAAACGTCGATGAAAACAACGGCCGTAACGACAACCAACGTAAACGCGAGCAGATTCGGCGAAATGGCTCCCGTCACAACCTCGACAACGTCCATCTTCGAAACGAACATCGCGCCCCGCGCCACCGGTGACATTTTTCAAGTGTAGTTAAGGACATAATATATTATCTATGATGAACTAATATAATAACTCACGTGACTCGAATCGAACGGTACGAAGCGAAGAGGCGACGAATTTTCATTACACGAATTACGTAGCAGCACAGTTCCGTAATAAAGCTAAGAAAAAAAAGAAAGAAAAGAGACGAAAGGAAAAAAAAATGTCTCGAGTAAAAAGTAAATGGCGGAGAACGGTTAATTGGAAGCGAGCGGCTGAAATATAAATACGAAATGCAAAGGAGAGGAAGAAAAGAAAAGAAAAAAAAGAAAAAGAAAAAAAAGAAAAGAAAAAAATGCTCTGTCACGGACTACGGTTGTCTTTTTTTTTTTTTTTTTTTTGAACGAATGAAAAAAAAATTGTAGATACACAAATGGGTACAAAGGAGGCATGCAGTGTTGTTAAAGTTGAAGTTTTGCTTGAGCCACGCGCGAGCCAGGCCTAGAATTTATTCTAAAAAAAATGATATGTTTTTATTACCTAGGTACGAAAGGTACAGCTTTCAGTAATAAAAATTGATAAGATCGAACCAGTTAAGATCGTTCAACTCTAGAATACGTAATATTCAGGAATGTACCTGAACGTAGGTGAGGGTATATGAAGTAGTACCTGAACAAGGGGGTGGTACGTGTTGGATGCTTAGAAAAGGTGCAGAGATTTCGCGAGAATTCTGATCCAGCAGCGAAAATAATTCCTTGTCCGTGATGATATAATTTCGAAAATGTGACGAGATATATTAATTCGATCGTATTTTTTAACTTGTTCTTCTTGTCGGAAGAAAAAGATACGGAAAGGATGAAGATTCGAGAAGATTTTTCTTCTCGAATTCGAATTTCACGATCACTTTACAAGGGAAAGAATAAAATTGGTATCTATCCAAATAGTGATTTTTTTACGGTATTTTTTAAGCATTTTCGATTAGAATTATTGGTTGAACTGCGACAGAATTTTTTACGTAAAATTCACGGACAAATTGTCGAGAATAAATAAAATTGATTGAACACAAGATAAAGGTCAAGATTCGAATTAACATTTTTGAATGCTCGGTACCACGATTACGATTTACTTACATATCAGTAATTGTTTTACGAAATATCACGTTACGAACGAAGATTTTTATCTATCAAACTTTACAAACTCACAATTCTTCCTTTCGCATTTATTATCTTTTTACTTAAATCTTATCGATTTGATCACATATCAATGACGAAACGAAAAAATTGATTCAAACTTTAAAAATATCGTTCGAGATATCAAGAAACAAAATAATTATTCCAATATTTATTATATATCACACACTCAGTACACTCAGATCCGCGTAGCAGAATTCGATAGGAAAGGAAAAAAAAGAAAAAAAAGCGAAATTACATTTGTCAGTGTTTACCCTTAAAAGTAAATCCATTTACACGTGTATTTAAAAATCACAAAAAAAAACACACACACACAAATTCAAAAATATTTCGTTTCACGTGAAAATATCGATACCAATGCGTTTGATCATTTCGTTTGCTTGAACGGAATTTTCTGCGACAAAATGCAATTGGCAGGGCATTCTCGAGTGGGTCGAGGCTAAACATACCTCTAATCTTAGGTAAACTACTCTGTGAGAACCAAATGGGAAAAAAGTGAAAAAAATATCGGGCTGGTGCTTGGACGAAACCAAGATGTGGCACCGGCAAGAATTGTATAAGAAACGCTAAAAAAATAATTAAAAAAAAAAAAAAAAATTAGTGCTACGACTATTGCGATCTCGTTATCTCGCTTTTCTGCGACCGAAACTGCGTGAAGCACGGGCGGTTTCTCTATTTTTCTTCGAACAAACACACATTGACCAAAAAGAAAATTCAGTGGAAAACACAACTATCGAGATTAAAATAAAGAAAAATTCGTTTCTTCCCAAATATATATATTATATATATATATACTTCACAGAGGTACGAAATTATTTATCTCGAATGGAGAAACTCGTTCGAGGTACATCGTGAAAGTTAAGTAATGAAAAATATTTCGTTGAACGATCTACGATGAATGCCGTTATTTTATGGTATACAATCACGAAACGTTGGAAAAGTATAAATTTTATTTCTTGCGATAGAAGAAACAAGCGAAAACTAAAGGAAATCAACGTATATTCTTTTCATCTTTCTCTCTCTTTTTTTCTTTTTTTTTTTTTTTATCATAAATAATTAATGAATTACGTTACACTCGTTTCATAAATGCCAATGAAAACCGTCTCGTTGCATCGATGCATATGATTTTTCCGAGTCGCTCGGCTCGCCAATTGTAAATTAGTAGAGATAAAAAAAATCGTTAAAATTATATATATATATATATTCTATATATACATATTCTATATATACATGTATATACGTAAGAAAGCGAACATGCACGAGGGGTTGTGTTGCATTTTCACCGAGGAGAGAAACTGATGATTGAAAAAAAAAGAAAAAAAAAAAAGAAAAAAACGAAGACGTCCCCCTGTCGCAAGAAAGAGGAAGTAATCTAACAAAAGAATGAGAAAAAACGTATATCGACATCTCGTGTTCGAATAATTACGCTGCCTTTCCCGATCAAATAAATAACTAAATAAATCTAAAAAGAAGAAAAAAAAAGCCAGTAAAAAAGAAGAAAAAGAATACAAAAAAGTGAAGAGGAAAAAAAACGGATGTAGAAACGAGAGTCTTAAGGACTTGTTCTTGGGACTGCACGATTCTACGTTTACGTAAATCCTTGCGCAAACGAAATAACTCATTGTTACACACAGACACACACGATACACGGAATCCTCACCCGACAAAAAAAAAAAAAAAAAAAAGAAAAAAAGAAAAAAAAACAATAAAAAAGAATTTAAAAAAATGGGACATAAAACACCGCACGACTTGGCGACGATTGCACACACCCAATTTATCGAATCGATCGTGTTCGAACGAATGCCAATCGCTGTTAATAATAACACACGAAACAGTTTTAATTCGCCACGACCCGCATATTATTATCATTATTATCATGATTATTATTATTATTATTATTATTATTATTATTATTATTATTATTATTATTATTATTATTATTATTATTATTATTATTATTATTATTATTGCAAGATGATTCAACTCGACCCGCCGCCTGATTTCTAAAAACCGAAGAAACGAAAAAAAAAAAAAAAAAAGAAAAAAAGACGGTCGATGTTCAAAGTTATCGTTTTATTCCATTTTAAATGTTTACTGTATAATAAAATTGTAATATAGTCGTTGGGCAAATAAAGCTCGTTTTTTCGATATATACACACATATCACAGGAACAAATGATGGACCCTCTGTCCCATTCGTGTCCTTTTTGGTGCGTTTAATTTAATTCGCTTATTCTACTTCCATCAAAAAATGAAAGTGCCTTGATGGTGTTGCCATGCATAAATCTTCTCCAACTTTTCTTGAATTCTGTATGAATCGCGTTCTCGTATCGCGTTCAATCTGTGTGTTTATTAAACGACGAATATGTGGGGACACGGATCAAGAATTCAGTGTATTTTGCTTTGCTTTTGAGTTAAAGTATCTCGTCTCGAGGAAACTTTCAAACGAAATCGAGACTTCTGTTCATCTTTGGAAGAATAAATCGTCGTGGAGGAAGAGATAAAGGAATAGAGGATTCATAGATTCGAGAACATACGTTACGTCCGATAATAATACGTTTCTTGATTGTTAGGTGTTGGAGTTGCGACGATCGAAGAATTGTCCAAAAAAATGGATCATCTATCGTCTCTCGAATGATTCACTTGGGCGATTGCAAGATGATTCAACTCGACCCGCCGCCTGAATTTCTAAAAACCGAAGAACGAAAAAAAAAAAAAAAAAAAGAAAAAAAGACGGTCGATGTTCAAAGTTATCGTTTTATTCCATTTTAAATGTTTACTGTATAATAAAATTGTAATATAGTCGTTGGGCAAATAAAGCTCGTTTTTTCGATATATACACACATATCACAGGAACAAATGATGGACCCTCTGTCCCATTCGTGTCCTTTTTGGTGCGTTTAATTTAATTCGCTTATTCTACTTCCATCAAAAAATGAAGTGCCTTGATGGTGTTGCCATGCATAAATCTTCTCCAACTTTTCTTGAATTCTGTATGAATCGCGTTCTCGTATCGCGTTCAATCTGTGTGTTTATTAAACGACGAATATGTGGGGACACGGATCAAGAATTCAGTGTATTTTGCTTTGCTTTTGAGTTAAAGTATCTCGTCTCGAGGAAACTTTCAAACGAAATCGAGACTTCTGTTCATCTTTGGAAGAATAAATCGTCGTGGAGGAAGAGATAAAGGAATAGAGGATTCATAGATTCGAGAACATACGTTACGTCCGATAATAATACGTTTCTTGATTGTTAGGTGTTGGAGTTGCGACGATCGAAGAATTGTCCAAAAAAATGGATCATCTATCGTCTCTCGAATGATTCACTTGGGCGTTTGCTCGGTGATTTAGCGCAATGGATTTCGCCAATTTCACCAGTGAACTGTTCAGAATCACGTTTCATTTCATGAACGAGACCGTGTGTCATCTTGCAGCATATTATTACGTTTACCATTGTAGTAAGACATCGTTGGATAAGAATATCGGCAAAGAATTGATCGAAGATGGATACGCAAAGATGAGTCAAATCCTGGCTATTCTTATGGTCGTATTATGCGGTCCAATATCCTTCATTTTATTATTATTTCACCGCACTTGATCAAATCTTTGCATCCGATCTACTTCTTTATTATACTTCGTCTTCTTTATTATATATCGCGCAAACTTTAATAAACAGTTTCGATATCGTTGTATACATGATATGCCACAGATTTAGAGCGGTCAACAAGATGATCAAACAGTTGGATGAAAAAGTAACGATCTCGTGGATTGCTTTGAAAATCAGGAGAATTAGGAAATGGTACAATGGCACGTAGCCGAGATATTAGCCTTAATTCTTGGCATATGTATTTAGAGTGAGTGACGTAAATTGGATAGAGCGTACGTCATTTTGAAGATTTCATCTTTTATTTTAAAAAAAAAAATTTGTTTCCGTCCCTCACTCTATTATTAAAATGACGCTATTATTAAAAATGACGCATTTATGCAATCTCATTGATTAAATTGTGATTC